GGAGGAGGAGGAGGAGGAGGAGGAGGAGAAGAAGTAGGAGGAGGAGGAGGAAGAGGAGGAAAAGGAGGAGGAGGAAAAGGAGGAGGAGGAGGACCAGTGGAAACCCAAGAGGCATCAACGATGTTGGAAGTAACCCTCCCTCCAAGCTTCCTCGTCATAGGCCCCTACAACGGTTCATGTCCCTGCCTCGTTAGAAGACAACAATTTGAAGATCCTGAAGCGTGCCAAAACATTTTTCTTGGGATTTTGAAGAGACGTATCAACCTGCCTGCTGCGTCTTGACGATACAGAGTCCTGCGAGAACGCCATGATTGAGACTTCAACACAGCGAATCAACATAACTGTTGCACCCGCATAATCCTGCACCCTTCCAAAACATCAGGTTTGATACGTTGACCATGAGAGCCCGTGAAACTCTTGCAACAATTAAAAACGAATGTGCGCGGCGCTAAAGCGACAACCACAATTTGAAAAAAAACTCAATCCGTGAAGCTCTTTTGCGCATTGAAAACGAGTGTGCGTGGTACTAAGGCGAGAACCACATTTTGAAAACGACCCGCCCTCAATCCGTGAAACACTTGCACATGTTGAAAACGAGCGTGCGCGGCGCTAACGCGAACACCACATTTTGAAAACGACCCGCCCTCAATCAGTGAAACTCTTGCGAATATTTAAAACGAGTGCGCGCGGCGCTAAGGCGAGAACCACCTGTTGAAAACGATCTGCCCTCAGTCCGTGCAACTTTTGCAACTACTTAAAACGAATGTGCGCGGCGCTAAGGCGAAAATCACATTCGGAAAACGACCCGCCCTCAATCCGCGAAACTTCTGCACATGCTTAAGCTTCAGAGTCGTGAGTGATGAAGACGTCTCTCGCGAAACGCCCACCCCGCTCTTAAACTTGGCCTCGGGGTGCGACAGGGAGGAGTTATCTATAAGGAGAAGGATTGGAAGAGGAGGAGGAGGAGGAGGAGGAGGAGGAGGAGGAGGGGGGCAGGGAGGAAGGGAGGCAGGGAGGGAGGCGGAGGAGGAGGACGACGTTGCTCAATGCCCCTCTGTCCAGCGCGATTGGGGAGGAACGCTGGTGGAAAAGGGTGGGGGGGAGAGCGGCGTCCACGGGTGGCCACCCCCACGAACCCCCAGGACGCCGCTCGCCCCCCCACCCTTTTCCACCAGCGTTCCTCCTCAAGCGCGCTAGATAGAAAGGCATTGAGCAACGTCGTCCTCCTCCTCCCTCCTCCCTCCCTCCCTCCCTCCCTCCCTCCACCACCCTCCTCCTCCTCTCCTCCTCCTCCGCCTCCTCCTCCTCCTCCCTCCTCCTTTCCTCCTCCTGCTCCTTCTACTCCTCCTGCTCCTCCTCTTCCTCCTCCTCCACCTCCACCTCCTCGTCCTCGTCCTCCTCCTCCTTCTCCTCCTCCCCCTCCTCCTCCTCCTCCTCCTCCTCCTCCTCCTTGTCCTCCTCCCCCTCCTCCTCCTGCTCGTCGTCCTTCTCCTCCTCCTTCTCTTCCTCCCCCGGCTCCTTCTGCTCCTTCTGCTCCTCCTCCTCCTGCTCCTCCTCCCTCCTTCTCCTCGTCCTCCTCCTCCTGCTCGTCGTCCTTCTCCTCCTCCTTCTCTTCCTCCCCCTGCTCTTCTGCTCCTTCTCCTCCTCCTCCTCCTCCTCCTCCTCCTCCTCCTCATCCTCTTCCTCGTCCTCCTCCCCCTCCTCCTCCTGCTCGTCGTCCTTCTCCTCCTCCTCCTTCTCCTCCTCCCCCTGCTCCTTCTGCTCCTTCTGCTCCTCTTCCTCCTGCTCCTCCTCCCTCTCCTTCTCCTCGTCCTCCTCCTCCTTCTCCTCCTCCCCCTCCTCCTCCTCCTCCTCCTCCTCCTCCGCTTCCTCGTCGTCCTCCTCCTCCTCCTCCTCCTGCTCCTCCCACTCCTCCTCCTCCTCCTCCTCCTCCTCCTCCTCCTTCTCCTCCTCCTCCTCCTGCGCCCACATTTACAAGGTCGGGGGCATCGGCCGCAAAGCCCCCACAATACCGCCATCATGATTCGGCGCCCGATGCTTGCAAGATCGGCCAACTCCGAATCGGGAAGCCAAATGGAATCGGAATGTTTGCGTCGGAGCAGGCTGCATCGACACGGAATCGAGATCGAATCGAATCGCCTGAGCCAAGACTCGCAACAACGCCATGGAAACTTCGTGGCGTGCCGGATCCAGAATAATAACAAGAATAATAATAATGGACACGGCCTCGAGGAAAGCAATCCACGGCTCCAACGCGGGCGAAGGCACCAAGGCGGCGGCACCTTGGGTCATACTAGGACGCATTTTGGACCCAATGAAAAAGAACATGATGAAATTTGTGGCGGCTTGGACGCGGCATCCGGCGTCGATGCCGGGGGAGGCTGAGGCAGAAGGGAGGACTGGAGGAAGTAGGAACATGAGGGGAGGAAGATCCCCTGTGCCGTATCTATCTTCTTGTTCCTCTTCTGTCTCCCCCTTTTTGATCCCCGTTCGCACCATACATATGGATGGCAGTGGGGGGGATACGATAGGGGACCAGTACCCATCTGAATCGTGCTGGAACGCATCGTTATGAGGTCGAAACTATGGTCGTGGTCGGCCCTGCAGGACGAGGCTTGGCCGCGAGGCGGAGGAGGAGGGCAGAGAGGGGGACTGGTCCTACAATATTCGACCTGTTATATTCAGCAGAGCCGCCATCATGAAGGCCACATCTCCTTTTGGACAATCACGCGTCGCGGATGGAAACATCGCAATGCAGGTGCCGTGTCACTCGGCGACTACAATGGGTGCGGTTTGCGAAGGGTGCGGTTTGCCTCCCGTCATATCTGCCCCTCCTGCCCCTGGGAAACGGATGACACTGTCCACTCAATGCGACCGAATCACATGACACTGTCGCTCCTTCGAGTACAGTGGAGCACACATCGAGGATGACAGTGTCGCTCGAAAAAACAACAAGTATGACATTGTTTCACACAAAGGCCCCGGAAAGGCCGCCACAAAGCAACTCGCAAACCGCACCCCGGCGTAACCGCACCGATTGTATTCGGCGAATCATACACGGCGTTTGAATGCAGAACGCATTTGTGTCAACGACTCGGCGCCCCGTATAGCACCAGTGGCTCAATTACACGCTGGTCGGAAGAAGTAGGTCGAAGCATGAACTAGGAAGGCGGTCGAAGTAGATTGGATTCAGGCCACCCCAGAGACTAACAACACACAACCAAACCATACACGCACATATCTCTATATATATGTATATACGTATACACACATATATATACATATATATATATATATATTACTGAAGTAGTCAGGCGCTCGAAGAATGTTGATTTCTGGGAGTCCGAAAACACATACTTTCAACGACTGGCGTGTATCTGAAACAATCAACTGGTGCGCTTGTTGCCAATCTTTCTTCGTCGCTTCAAGTGCGCACGCGAAGGAACGGCGGGTGCACTTGACTTACATGCCATGTGCAGCGTCCGCTTTCCCGCAATGCCGACTCGCTCGGCGGAGAGCCAGCGCTGGATGAAGGGAGCATGATCAGCACGAGCATCAGCAGGAGTACAAGTGGGACTTCAGTCGGACTTGATTGGAGAGGACACGCGAGAGGACAAAAGACCCCCTCCGAGGGGCACACTGCCATGGGAATGTCGGAGGCATGGGTCGCGAGACGCAGGACACAAGGGTACCCTTGATTTGGCAGGGTCGACCTACTGATCCTGGCCGAGTGTAGGAGGAGGACGAGCTTCGAGGAAGTTCCACGACTATCACTCGATGAGAACGAGGAGGGAGGAAGAGGGAGGCCGCAAGGCGCGATGGGGCTGTCCACATACGTCTGAGCAGCAAGGACGAGGCCGTCCGTGCGACCTGGCGACTGCGGTGCCATGCCCGCACGCGAGTCGGAATAATATTTTCTGTGTCCGCTCAGATGTTACCGTGGATCCACCATCAAACTTGTCCACTCCACTGAACTTGCTACAGTATTGGGAACATCAAGCCTGCGAATTGCCAGAATATTGGGGAACCTGTGTCTGCTACACGTCGAAGCTCATGTGGAAGCTTTACGGGCTGAAGGAGCACGTGCGATGCATCCAAGACGTATCGGGCCTAGCACGACGTCAATGCAGGACATCTGGGATACACTCCACGCTCTTCGTGAGGTGTGGGCTTGCCCCGGAAATGATCGAGCCGACTCCGTGCAAACGCGCCTAACGTATCGTGGGTCCTGGGGGCATCGATTGCTCTGGTCAGTACCGCGTGTGATGCGACAAGGCCTGAAAGCAGGAAGCCTCTAGTAGGCGTGCAGCTCACTTCTTCATCATCAGCGCGGTGACCCTGGCAGCATCCCACCCTTACCAAGGTCTTCTGGTAGCTCTCCTCGCAGGGATGGATCATGCATCTCCCTGGGCCGCTGGCAATATTCCCTGGGCGGGGAAGAGTCCAGTGCTAGGTACCGAGTGGTGGTGTGGTCTCCTCAGGGAGCCCATTTGGCGATGCTTCTTCGGTCGGTTACCAAGTGCCGCTGGAATATCACGATAGCGCCGCCATCGGTGCGCTTACCCTGGGAAATTTACAATACACTACGGGTGCACCAACCATGAGAATTTCGGACGGGTGCGGGGGTCACGGACGCAGGATTAGAAGGTGATGCGAAAGCGGGGATGGGGATGAGAAGAAGCATGGTGGATAAATAATGATAGAGGACCACAAGGATGAGGCGGAGTGTTAGGAGTATGATGCTGAGGATGACATTGGCTATGATGAGCTCGAGGCAGAGGGTGGGTCATAGAAGTTAGATGGGATGGGTGGCGATGACGAGGATGGTGATGAGAAGTAAGTGCGATGATGCGTACGAAGATCGTCGTCCTTCCTCTTCCGTTTCTACGGGCGTTGGGGTCAATCTCACCGAGCCTGCCCTGTTCGTCGTCGCCGTCGTCGTCAACGCGGGCCCTTGTGCCGAGCGGGGCGAGGCGGAGCTGATCGCTTGCGACCCAGGCCTCGAAACCGCGGGCTCCGTCGTCGTGTCCCTGGCGGAGGGCGCGGGTCATGCATGGGGAGGGCGGGGAGGAGAATGAGGAGGGGTGGGATGGGGAGAGGCAGGATGAGGGGAAAGGGGGGAGGAGAGGCAGGATGAGGCAGGATGAGGCGGTGTTGGCGGTGGAGGAAGAAGAGGGAGGCATAATGAATCGGAAGAGGATGGTGTAGGGGACGGTGTAGGGGAAGGGAGCAGGACGAGAAACAACGAACGCAATGAACGGGCCGTGGCGGTGGAGGGACAGGTGGGCTGAGAGAAGCGGGACAAGGTTGGACGGAGGGGAGGGCGAAGGGCGGAAAAAGATGATGGAAGGGGCAAGCTGACAAGGATGAGGGAAGGGGCGAGCTGAGGCTGGCCTTCCTCCTCCTCCTCCTCCTCCTCCTTCTGCTCCTCCTCCTCCTCCTTCTGCTCCTCCTGCTCCTCCCCCTCCTCCTCCTCCTCCTCCTGCTCCTCCTCCTTTTCCTTTTCCGCGTCGCCCTCTCCTGCAGATGAGATCCCAACGCGAACGCCGCACTCTGTCCCGGTCACACAGGTAGCACCAAAGAGAGGTCGCCACGCGGTTGACTGCCATTCAGGAGCCAATGTGCACGCCGGGTCCGACAAATGCTCGCGAAGTGAGGCTGGACCACAAGGTTCGCCAGAGTTGGCCATGTGATCCCCGAAATCCCTGAGCAAGAACATGCAGAGCAACGGCGTGCGGTTGTTAATGCAACCCGCGGCGACGCCGAACGCCATTTTGGTTTTTAAATGAACTAGATGTGGTGTCCGTCTTCGTCCCCATTATTTCAATACCCGTTCCCTCCATAATTGACCGCGATGGGTCTTTAGAGTATATTTGGAACCTCCCACCATTAGCGACCAGTTTTGGAGAATAAACACTTCTCTGCGGCACCCGCCGCACAGCAACGACGACGACGACGACGGCGACGACTACGATTACGGCCGCGATGCGACTACGGCTACGCGTGCGAACGCGACTAAGAGTAGTTAGCGACCACGACTATCATTACGACTACGGCTACGGTTGTAACGACGAGTGCGGCTACGACTTCGACTACGACTCGGCGAAGAACGTGTCGATCTAGATTGCAATCGTCTTCCAATCGTGTTCCACATTCTTCTGTCGCGCAAGGTAGCCCAACAAACATCATTCGCTTGGGGGAAAACGCCCAAGACGATCCAGCACGGCGAACAGTAGTGGGAAACTCATCGGTGTCCCGTGTTTCCACTCATTTTACTTTGCCTCTCCCCCTGTTCCTCCTCCTGTTCCTCCTCCTCCTCCTTCTTCCCTTTTCCTCGTCCTTCGGAATGAGTCGAGGAGGAGCAGGGGAGCAGGAGGAAGAGAAGGTAGATGAGTCTTTTGGCTGGATATTCATGATTCCCTGCAGTATGTTCCGTTGATCTGTCACGGTCAATGGGCTTCGCCGATGATATGGGGAAAAAGGGATAATGCCGTCAAACATACACCAAAACAAAAACTGAGAGGGAGGAGGCCGGCCCGCTGGCCGACGCGCGCGCGCGCCGCAGGCTCGCTCCTTTTCCGTTTCCCTAGAGCCACAGTGTTGCTGCAGGAGAGAAGCAGTCAGTGCAGCAGACAGTGCATGCAAGGCTAAGGAGCAGGATGGGCAAGAGGATGGTGGTGCGGAAGAGGTGCATTGACTCCCCCCACGGCGGGGTCCGTAGTCGCACCGACCCCCAACCCACCTGGCCTGTACACATGTACAGCCACTGGAGGGAACCCCAAAAGTATTTCACCGCTAAACGGTGGTTGCCAGGGGGCGGAAAACCGAAGTAACCCGACGCACCCCGCCTGAGCTAATATTTCCCAGCTCAGGCCTCAATGCCCGTGCACACCTGGTGCACCCACTTCATGATGAACTGTGGACCGGCACCGACGAAGTCGTAATGGTCCTTTTGTACTGCATCACCTCTGCCATTGATTTCTCCATTCTCGAGAATCATCCCACGTGTCTCTGTTGTTCCAGTTCCACTGGTACTGATCTCTTGACTAATTGTCATATCTATCTTCTCTTCTGCTCGAGCTCCAGCTGTTTGGCTGACTCTTGCCCTGGCCATTCTCAGGCGGCCTCGCCTTCTGCGTGGGCGGCGGCGGAGGCTCTGGCAAGGTGCTCGGCATCCCAGAATCACGTCTGAACTTGTCGCTGTAGTCGTTCAGACTAAACCAATGCCAGGTTTTGGTATGACCAGTGACATTCTGGTGACGAGATACACGTACGTAGTGCCCTTGAACTTCTCCACGTGCATTATTGTCCGCATGGTCGGCCCTCCCGTCGTGACCGCCGTCCATGGCCAGAGGGGCGCCGCCGTCGCTCGCGCGGCCGCCCGACTCTACTGTGGACTCATCTGCTCAAGACTGGGCCCTATCATAGTTAACCCAGCCAGAATTGGTGCTCGACGCGGCTGGGCCGGCGGGCACGGGAGCATAAGGAACGGTCCTATGGGATTGCCTCCCTCTCCGACACCTCGGTCTCGATGCTGGGCGAGAATGCCGCTGAGCTCGCAGCCCCGAAGCGGCGGTGCCGCTCGGGGTGTCCTCCTCAGCCATCATGAATTCAGCATCTGCTGGAGGCTCAGCTGGGGCGGTCTCTGTGGGGGCGTCGGCTGGGCCTTTCTTCTTCAAGCTAATTTTAATTCCAATGGCAGCGTCTGCGCTGAAGAATCCAAAACGGCCGTTGGCTAGACGAATCTTGACACTCGGGTGAGGTTCCGTAGACGCATGCATGGAAACAATAGCTTCTTGGATACGTAAACAAGTCTGTCTGACGGTCTCTGATGCTTCAATTTCCAATCCTTTGGCAAGTGCATGATGTAGGTCGAGCGATTCAATAGCGGAACTATTCGGCAATCCAAATCATGAGCATCGCGCATGGCTTCAAGAGCTGCTTTCGTAGAATTGGGTGTCGCACTGTACATCGTATCCCACGAATGCAATAATGATCCTCGCATACATGAACAATAATATTACTTCTCGTACAACTAACTAACAGTTTCCGCACCCATCTCCCGTGAGTAGGGGTTCGGTCACATGGTTGGTTCCATAGTTTATTCACGAGCTTGGACAAATCAGGCGGCGCATCATGAATAACGTCAGTGTCTGGTGGCATCGTAGTCAGGGATGCCGATGCATGTTCAAGAATGAATTGTGTCGCAACTTTGATGACGCCTGGCCTACCATATGAGTCAACATTGTGCTTTGTACTAGACATGCGGCCAGACATAGAAATCAAATCAAGCCATCAGGGCAGCGTTCGCATCGGGATAATCAGCCGATTGCGCTGGGGAGTGCGTTGGGTGCGTGCGCCATCCGGCAAGGCAACTTTCTCTTCACGGGCTGATATCGCTTCATCAGCGCGGCTGGGCCGATGATGGAAGACAACAATAACCCAGAAGTCTATATCTCCAACTTTGTTCGATGCGGAAGCTCGGTTGGCTTTGTTCAAGTTACCCATTAACACTTGAACCAATCGAACTGTTTCTCCTTGTTCCGCCATTTCTCGTTCCCACTGGTCCCAGCACGTCTCTAGGCGAATTTGCTCAGCACTAGCATACTTCCAATAGAAAACAACAAAGGCCTATCATCTTAACGGACGAGCGTGTTGTTTCAAATCTGTCGCCCAGATGAACGGCCACCATTGGGCAGGGGTTGGGGCATGTCCCCCATGCTTGTACTTCAGCCACTCAATGAATCGGAACTTCAGTGGTTCCAGATACTGGAAGCATGGCCCATGACGCGCAGGCGGCTGCGCCGTGGCGCTGTCAGGTTGCCAGGAAGGGGCGGCCCCCAGTTGTGAATTTTCAAACGTACAGCCTGCCGAAGATGCCCGGAGACGTATCTGCGGGTTGTTAACCCACTTGCGCTGGTGTTGTTCAGCTGTTCAAATTTCCCAGCGCATCAGAAGAACTCTTCCTCGTCGCTCTCAGCCTGTTAGAGATGACCTTGGAGCCGCTTTCCCCTCTTGGGGGTGCGTCTAGGCGTGGAATCAGTCCTAGGCTCGCCCATGCAGCAACCAATGCATCTCTGCCAGGTGGCGTTAAATAGTTCACTCGGACGTTGCGTTTGCACGTGGCGGGGGTGAGGCATTGCAGGCAGTGCCCGAAACCAGCCCTCACAGCATGGTATTGATGGCAAATGTACCTCCCGTCGTCCGTCCACACTTTCCGCATGGTGAGGGCCTTGTCTTCTTTTGACAGTGTACTCTGCCCTACATCGGCTACTTCTTCGTCGGAAATACACATGTTCGAGTTGTGTCTTGCGAAAATGCCACCTGATATGCCGCCCATTCTTAGGAAAGTAGTATGTTCCAGACCATCTGCTGGGTGTTTCGTGCACTCTGTTCAACCGACGACAATTGCACAATGCGAGAGATGTCATTCAGGCGTGCTTGTCCTGTTGTCAGAAGAGTGCCGTCACGGCAGATACGAAACCATAGGCGGGTCACCACCCACCCGATGAAGACAACACCAGTTTGCCAGTTCTTATCATGCGTCGCATCAACTCCCCAGGAAGATGGGGTAATTTCGCGAGGCCAGGAACCCTGAATCGGAGGTCCACTCCCGGCCGGGGCAGCGCCCGCGGCCTGATAGACCCTTGCGAGTGGAGCATCACCATCCTTCCGCTGGCTGAGCCAGCGAGGGACGTGCTCGGCGTATTCCGAAGGGAACTCGTCGCGCCTCGCAGGTATTAATCTAAGAAGTCCGTGATCAGGTGCTTTTCACAGACCGCTGAGCTAATTTGGGTACGCTTGTCCCTGAGTCTAGCGTAGCCTCTTTTACGGCTTCCAGGCTCGTAACGTGTAGTAAGGGCGCATGGCAATGCGCCATTCCGAATTCATAAGGCGCATACATGCGTTCTATGCTGTGGACAAAACAAGAGTATCCTTGACACGCGCGAAAGAACGCTGGCACGGGCCAGCGAGCCCGTTCTGCTCGATCAGTGGAAACAACACTATTTCCATTTTCCTCATCAGCGAC